GTTGAATCTCTCACATGAGACAAAAACGAACTGTTCTAAGAGGACGCCAACTATTATCCACACATTCACATGCTTCACAGCTCTAGCTATGGCATGTGCCATACGTGCGCGACGATGAGCAGGAATGTCACTGGCAGAGGCTGCGAATACACGAGCGACTTCAATAAGCCGAAGTCTCATTTGCATCGGCAAGGTCTGAATAACCATTTACATAAAAAACGAGATGAAGGTTCCACTTTCTTTCATAACTATTACTAGACGCTACCTTGCCATCTTCTTCGCATACAGCAAGGAAAAGTGCTTCCAGTGTGTCTTCGATGATTCGAAGAGTTAGCTCATTGTCTTTGCGGAGCAGTCCATTACCCATGAACGTGAAGACGGACATCATATGAGATGTTACACTAGTCTGCAAAAATAACATTCTGTAAAAAGGCAATGAAATCACACATAACTTCTGTAAAAACTCGGCTTCAAATCATGATTACAGAAGAAACAATACTCACCGGTGATATTCGTACAGCAGCAGTTAGAAGACGCAAGCATTCTCTCAAAATATGATGACTGTGTGTATTGCGCATCATTTCAATTACATAATCCATCTTCAGGTCCGCGGATGTTATTTTGTACTTTCCCCCTAAATCCTTAGCCTGTTGATACGTAAAGTTATCGGCAACTAAGTTACTAACCTGGAGATTTGATGAGTTTCAAGAGGAGATTTACTATGCGCATAGTCAGAGATTCATCTTTTTCGTTGAATCTGTAAGAACGATGGAATACAGACTTCCGGAAATGGCTGATTGCACAATTTCATGCCCTCATGCACACAAGAATTTACAGGAAGAAGCAAAATCGTAAGACGCGAGACCTGCGCTCTCAAATTCAAAGCAAAGAACGTCTTGCAGCTACTTTACAAATGAATAAAACTGAGTGCTCAAGGAAGATACGACTTCACCAAAGTTAAAGAAACTGGCGAGAGACCTCAGAAAAGAGGACGTATAAAAAGCAATATATAAGCAAGAATTCTACACTCCAGTGATACGCTTATAACTCACTCTTTAATCAGATCGAACAGCAAAGAGAAGACAGCAGAATCGACAGCGACCGATTTCGAATTAGTCAGCATTTCAACCACAAAGCCGAGCCTCCTCTGATAATCTTCATCCGATTCAGTATGGAAAGCCTGCACGAAACTGTATAGGCTGGTGCAGTGAGATGTCTAACAAACCTCGAAAAAGATATCACTCGATTTCGCAGATTTCGGTTTCTTCGGGCTTGGTTCAGGAGACTCGTGGCGCTTGAGCAAATTGGTCACAAAATCAGATCGGAAGTTCACCTAGATGTAGCATTTGCCAAGATACCTATTTGCCTATTCTTACTGTGTTTACCTCAGCAAAAGCTGTTCGAGCAGCATTCAATGCAAGATTTTTAGGCGATTTGAACACCAACTTGACAACTTCCAAGACAAAATCTTCAACATCTTCGGAAGTCTTATTGGCAAAATAACTCTTTCGCGAGCTCATTTCATCGAAAGCCCAAGACACCTGAGAAAAAGCTTCGCGATATAAAATACAGTCAGCAAGTTCGCTCACATTTTCCCAATCCTCTTTCTTGATCCAATCTCGAGCCTTCTTCATAGGGTCTCCAGAAAATGCTTGCCGCCGAGCAAACTCAGATGAAGCAGCCATTTCCTCGGCACGAGCAACTGCACTTTCCTGAAACTGTGTAATGCTCTTGGTCCGATTATGAATCCATTTCAAAGCTTTCAGGTCGTTAAAGGCAGTGTCCAGGCAAATCTGGGCACATGGG